CCTATTTCTATTTCTTTTTTATTTGTTATTATTCCATCTCCAAGTGATATAAATTTGATATTTGATTGTGAAATTTTAAATATTGTTGTTGTTTTCTCTTGTTCTTTCTTTTCTTTGCGTTTTATAATGTAATTAATCATTATTATTATAATTATAATTATTATAATGATGATAATAAGTATAATGATGATAATTATCATTATCATCCACCATACAATTTCTTTATTACATTTTGTTCCTTCTTCATTGATTCCATACCAAAATGAACATTTTGAACATTTATTATTTTTTGTTTCTTTACATTTATTAATATTTGAATAATGAATACATTCTTTATTTATTATTATATATTCATCTTCACATGTATTACATTCTTTCTCATTTAAACATGTCATACATTGTTTTCCACATTTTGAACATTCTTTATTTATTAAATAATATCCTGTTAAACATTCTCTACATCCATATTCTTTATCTATTTCTCCTTTACATCCTTTAATTGTTGTTGTTGATTTACATATTCCTGTTGAACTCATAAAATATCCTTCTCCACATATTATACATTTATCTTTTTGATTACATGTTAAACATTCTTTTTCACATTTTGAACATCCTTTCCCATTTCTATAATATCCATTCTTACATATTCCACATCCACTTCCATCTGCTAATATTTGTAAACATGTTCCATTTAATTCTTTATTTGATTGACATGTTTTATCATTTCTTAAATATTTATCATTAGAACAACTCATACAATATGTAGGTGTTTCATAACATGTTTCACAATTACTATCACATTTTAAACATTTCATGTCTTTTGTTAAATAATATCCTTCTTTACATCTTTTACATCCATATGTATTTTGTTCTTCACAATATTCTATTTTTGTATTAATACATTCTCCCTTCAAATTAGGTGAATATGTATTTGAACATTCAACACATTTTCCATTAACATATGATTTATTTAAACAATATGAAATATTATTATTACATTTTCCATTTTGATCTTTTATCATATCTTCTTCACATGTTTTATTTATACATTTATTATTATCTAAATATTCTTCATATTTACATTTTATTTCAATATCATTTGTTTGACATATTTCTGATTTTGAACATTCTATACATTTATTATTATCAATGTATTTTCCATTTTCACAATATATTTCTTCATTCTTTCCATTTCGATTTTCTTTATTTGAACATTTTTTATTGTTTAATGTATATCCATTTGAACATGATACACATTTATTTCCTTCATAATAACATTGATCTTCTTTATCTCCATTACATTGATTATTTTGTATTTTATATCCATTTGAACATTTTAAACAATAATTTCTT